GTTTCCCCACTGAATGTTGAGAAGCATGAGTACCACTTGAGGGGAGAATCAACAGAGGGGTTATGTGATGTCTCTCATTCAGACTTGAAAGCAATCATCTGCCCAGGCAGGGTGGCTCAGTGGGTTGGAGTTTCATCCTTTACACCCAAAGTTTTCGGGTTCAATTCCCAATCAGGGGCGTGTACAAGAGGCAACCGATTGATGCTTCCCTCTCTCTCTCTCTTTCTAAAATCAATAAACATACCCTAGGGTGAGGATATAAAGAAAAACAATTATCTACTCTTAATGCTGAGGAGGGTGGGTGGGGAAAGAGCTGGGAATGGCTGGGGACTTCTACACGGATCCTCCTGAAGGGGTCACTGGGTTTCTGTTTTAATGTTTTGCCTCTGTCACCTTAGGCCCCAGCCCACTAGAAAAAAGGTATCATCATCGCTTACCATCGGGCTCCAAAGGAGCCTTTTTCGCTTTTATGAATAACCTCTAGAACAATAAAGGGCTAGTTTTAAAACCTTATTAGAAAAGTTAATAATTTAAACATAGTGAATTCTCATTGCCTATCTCCCGGGCTTTGAAGGTATATAGACCCAAAATGGGCAACGTTCTCTGAATGCAACTGACGGTTCACCAGTTGTCATGGGTGAACCTGGGACAGAGCCATCCCATAAACACGGATTCCGGATTCCAGGCACCTCGCTAGCAAGCTCTAGCTGATCACTCGCTCTGGCCCTTCTCCCACGTGCGTCCTAAAGCTAGTTACTTCTGCAACCTGTGACGGCTCCTCATGTGAAAGAGAAGGCGGGCATCTCCTCTTCTCCATAATTGCAAAGCATTTTCACTTTTAAGTTTATAAGCACCAGCCAGAGAGATGCGTCCGGTCATTTTGTTTTCATTTCCATATCACCTGTTTCCCTCTGATCACCTGTGCAAACACGTCTGACTTCATCTGAAGCTACACGAACACTGGCCCCATTCCTTCAGCAGAGCAGGATGATCCAGGTTGTTGTTGTAAAATAGCAGTAACTGGGAAAAGCCTTTTTGTTGAACTGGATGAGGAAACCCAACTTTCTCTTTCTCCCCAGAAACATGTTGTTTATGCATCGATTCTGGCGTTCTTGAGAAAATTCAGCCAGATCATTGTCTTGTGAGGCTCACAGCCCGAGACTTGACTTATGAAACCCATTGTACTGTTCTCTTCAGAGGCAGCCTCGCTGCTGTCTCCTCTGATTGGCGACCTACTGTCAGGCGTTTTCCTGGGCCAATTTTCTTCTCTTTTCCATTTTGTGCAGGAAATAAAAATGTCTATCTTCTCAACTGTCTGCAATGAAAGCAACACTGAAACTACAAAGATGGTGTCCTGTGCCTTCTTTACTTAAGGGAGAGGGAGAGAGAGAGAGAGAGACATCAATGATGAGACTCATGGATCGGTTGCCTCCTGCACGCCCCCTACTGGGGATCAAACCTACAACCCAGGCATGTCTCTGACTGGGAATCGAACTGTGACCTCCTGCTTCATAGGTCCACACTCAACCACTGAGCAGGCCCTGTGGCTTCTTTTATACCTTCTTGAAAGACGCCATGATACCCTCAGCAATGAACAAGAAAACTAAAGGATCCTCCAGCATCCCTCCATTTCTTATTATTTTAAGGTTTTAGCATAATTGGCAATAATTGATGAATAACAAAATAATTCCTATGATGACACAATGAAAACTGTTTCAAGGTAATAAGAAAAATGAGATGACTAAAACCCCATGAAAGATCTTAGATTTATAAGTGGTTCCAATGGCCCATGTGGCAAATTCCAGATAGGATGAGCTTCATTCTGTTTTTGTTAAAGAATAAACGTTTCTTTGATCTTTGGGAGATTTCTTTTTAAAAGGACAGGAGTCATGAAATCTGTCTTTACGAACAATGAGAACTTCTCAGAAGGAAGAAAACACTAAGATTGGGGCCAGAAAACAAAACTAAGCTGGGAGTCCACGGAGATCTGGTCAGACAGTTCCCTCCACAGGGCCGGCTAAGTCCATCCATAGATTCGGTGATTTCATGGAAGATTTTCAAAATCGGGAAAACTGCCCCACAAGGCGGCTCTTCCTTCATCCACTTGAAATCCAACAGTTCTCCGACCAAACCCAACCTGTCACGGAGAGCTGCACCGCATTCCAACACTACACGGCCCACCCCTGGGCTCCGCCCGCGACCCCCTACCCCTAACCA